TCGGAGAATCTCTCTAATCAGACCCCTCATCCCCACGCCCACTGTTGTCCCCACCCTTCGTCCAGAGCTCACTCTTCACTATTGAGCCACAGAGCTCCCCAGCCTTGGCCTCTCTAGCTCAGCCTGAAAACTGAGCTAGATCATATTTGTGCATAACATTGTGTTTGGTGGGAATCTTATATCCCTTTTCTAAACCTTAGTTTGTGTTGACTATAGGTTAGGATAATTCAAAGGATTCAGCACTTTCAGACCTCAAGCCCTCTCCCCACGGCTTGTCTATTCTGTGCTTCTGTCCCCTGCCAGGATGAATCTGTTCCCTGTGCGCTTTGAACGTACTGTTCACTCCAGTTGGAATATCCTTTTTGCCACCTTTCTACCTGAATTGAGTCGGCTGCCCCACCCTATCCCCTCACATCCAACCCTCAACTCCCCATCCGCCCGGCCACCTCCACACTGAACTACAACCATCAACCTGAAGAGGATCAGGCCGTGGGGGGCTCCGCATACTACATACAGTGTGATGGAGAATGGTTGAAAATGACAGCACAGGCCCATTAATTCATCCCATTGAAACTACTCTTGAAAGTGGATCAAATTTGCAGAACTTTCTGCTCATCGACATGGATGCAGCTGCTACGTGAGTTCCCTAAAGTTGATAATCAGAAACCCATTCAAATAAGGCAAATGTATTAGGATAGAAAGAAATAAAGCACAATTTTATACGGTTCTTTCCTACCTTCAGCCATTGACACCTGGCCCTATTCCTGATGTGAACCATGTAGCAGCTAGGCGCCAGTTCTGGCTGCTCTCGAGGCACGGGAAGACCACAGCTAGCACAGGCAGCGGACGGGCGCTTTGAGCTCAAGTCAGTTTCCAAGGGGTCTCTTCCCTTGAGCCAGTGTCCTTGGGGCTGCGAAAAAAATCCAACGTGCCTTAGGGAAAACCACCCATTCTAACCAAACACTATACTCATCAGTCCAAATTCAAATCAGAAAAAGAAGGATGTGATGTAACAGTACTGAGGACACTAGTTCAAGACACTGAGAAATCTATGTTCGGAGAAAAAACAGCAGAACTCCTTTGAAAGACGACTACCTCTGATGAAATTTCTGACTTGAGGCTAGTCTCTAGTGAGATGGTTCAGGGACTTGCCCCAAATGAGTTATTTCGTGAGATACCAACTACTCTGGGAGGCACCAGATGCATTTTGTACTTTGTCCTCTTCCAGTCTCCCTACAGATAAACTTTGTGACAGTAACCACGGACACAAATGTAGTGCTACGTGTCTAGGGTTCTTCGGAGCTTTCTGCACAGATCTCAGTTATCACAACTCCCGTGGTAATACTTCCATTCCCACTTTACAGATGAAAAACAGGACACCGAGCAGTTGCATAATCAGCCCATTATCTAATCATTTACTCCCTGCTTAGATAAGCTGGATTGCTCCCAATGACCCGCAGTATAAAGCCCAAATTCCTGTCACTCAAATCTCCCATTCCAACTTTTCCTCCAATCCCCATAACCCTGAACCCCCATGAAACACTTCCTCACCTCTGTGCTCGCCCGAACAACAGATGTGGCACAACGGCGGGCTCGGTGCATCCAAGTGTGGTTTCTGTCCAGATTTAAATGTGACAGAATTTACCAGTCAGATTTCACAGGAAAAATCACATTTGCAGTACTGAGATTTCATTTTGGATTTTACTCAGAACTTTCTCCAGATCTGCAGCCAGGCCTACGTTCCGCCTAGAAACCCTCAGCTAAGCAGTGGCTGCCCTCGCTGGCCAGGGCGCGCTCCATCCAGCTTTCAGCTGCCATTCGTCACACAAAATCTGCTGGCTTCACTTGTTCGTATTACTGACCTGGTTCCTAAAGGCCTTTGCCACCTTGCCCTAAAACCATCTTTTACCTAAATCCCGCCTAACCTCCAAGACCAAGCTCAAATGCCACCTCCTCTAGCAAATAGTTCCTAACTACTTCAGCCTCTCTGAATGCCCTGGCATTCTGATTATGTATCACGAACATCACACTCTCCCTTGTAGTGTGTCCATGCTTCACTGAGAACGAAGGAGAAACTCGGGAGTCAAAGTGAAGTGACCGATTCTGTGATCTTAGCCAATGGGAGAGCACAGCATCCAGGATTCTCCCATTTGAGCTCTAGATAAATAAAGGTAGAGCGAAGTGACTTTACACATAAACACACATATTTTCATTCTCTCTTCACTCTTCACGTCCCTTCTGTCAGCCTTCTGCTTACAGAAAACTCATGAGACAACTTAATGGATGTGTTATTTTTTTTAATAAACAGAAACCACATCACTTTGTTACAGTGGATGACAGGCAAGAATTCAAGAGGGCCCCAGGAAGCTTTTTCACCAAAAAGTAACAGAAAGGGCAAGCACCTTCACCACCCACGCCTTTGGTTAGTTTTTTCTTTTGATCTCTGTTACCCGACCCACATTGGTATGTTGCTTCCAGAATGGGATTCTTGTAAGATTCAAATCTTATACTAGTTAGGAGTATAGTCTATCAGCTTGCCTTAATAACAGAATGGAAGTCTCTAACTTAGCTGAGAAACCTGGACAAGTCTTCTTTGATTTCGGCCTCATCCCAAGGCCCATGAATGTTTTCTTTAAAAAGCTGCAGGCGAATGAGGTAGAAAGGGCAGAGACAAGAGATGGAAACCAGCAGAAGGGCAAAAAGAACGGCTCCCACAGCACTGATGGACAGCAGGCCTCCCAAGGCTGAAAATGCAAAAAGCAGCGTGACTCCCACGTAGCTGCGGGGAGTACACGCCTTCAGTTTCTTCTGTAACATAGGCCACAGGGCAAAAATCTGGATGGCAAACGTCACCATGATGAAGGCATGCAGGGACCGGGGCAGGCGTGACGCGAGGCAGACAGAAGCAAAGATGGCCATGTTCAAGGACAGCGTGCTGGATACAATGGCGGCATTGGCGCCATAGTCAAAGAAAATGAGGTGGCCTAAGAGCATAAAGACCGACATGGCATAGATGGTATCGGTGCTGACAGACTCCGTCAGGGTCTTCAGCACTGGCGAAAAACCGTATGTAAAAGTAATAAAAACGAGGGCGCTCTTCAGGTCAGCCCACCGGGTCCTCCCACTCTTCTTCCGTCCTTCACCTCCGTCAATGAGATCGAACAAAACGTAACCAATCAGTGAAGAAGCCAGGCCAGTCCCAAAAAGCCACTGGGGGGCCAGAAGACCCTCGTCCATATACCACCAGATAACGACAAAAACACAGACACTGCACAGCTGCTGTACCACCACGCTGGACTCAAATACCACAGCCCAGTACTGGTATTTCCGGGCGTAGATGTTTTTCCGGAGCTCTTCCAGGAAACGCCGGTCCACATAGTTATCAGGAAAGGGCTGTCGTTCATACAAGACCTTCTGCCACTTGGCCTCCTTCGTGTCAGTTCCAGGTTGGGCACACATGATCCTCTCCCTCAAACGCAGGCCGGTTCAACCTCCCTTGCACAAGTCCATGTGGTTCTCATTCTTTATAAAGTTTTGAAATAAGATCTCTCTAGAAATTCCGTGCTGTGTTGTGGTTGGTATTGTTCCGAGTTTCAAAGGCAGCAACCCAGGCCAGGCCTGCAGTAGATGAGTTTGCTCTCTGAGGCAGGACAATACAGCCAAGTTCCTAGAAAAAGAGAAGACTATGAACATATGAAAGCTGTGAAAGGTCAACGGAAGGACCGAGTTAAAATCAAACCAACTCAGTTTATTAAAAGTTGGAGCAAAAGGGCCTGGGTGGCTCAATCGTTAAGCGTCTGCCTTCGGCTCAGGTCATGATCCCGGGGTCCCGGGATCGAGCACCGCATCGGGCTCCCTGCTCCGCGGGAAGCCTGCTTCTCCCTCTCCCACTCCCACTCCCCCTGCTTGTGTTCCCTCTCTCGCTGTGTCTCTCTCTGTCAAATAAATAAGTAAAATCTTTAAAAAAAAAAAGTTGGAGCAAAATATATGTGGTGGCCATTTTATAATTAGGGACATTAACATTTCATTTCAGACTTTAAGTTATAATCCCACGGATAATAAAAGACATCTGTTAGCTATTACTGAGTACCTACTACGTGCTGAGTGCACAGCTTCTTTCATTTAATCTCCACCTCTCAAGTTAACATTAGCTCCACTTTAATTAGTAAAAAAACAAAAACAAAAACAAAAAAACCTGAGATTCAAATTGCTTAGGTAACTTTAGCCCAAATTAACAGCGCCAAATTCAAACCAAAGTCTGACCCCAAAGCCTGGGCCTCACATCATGTCTACCTCTAAACCAGTTAACTCAGGGGTTCACATATCCCTGAGGTCTGTGGATGGGCTTCAGAGCATCCAAAACCCCTCTCGGTCACTGTATCCTTGTAGCTGCAATTAGTGCATATTTCTAGGGATAGCATCCAGAGCCTTTATTTATTGAGATCTCAAAGGCATCTACTATTTTAAAAAAAGGTACCAGTCTAAAGACCACAGTAAACTGCACAATACAAAAAGGTATGAGCTCTACGGTTTACTCGGCCAAAACCAAAGACTCAGAAAAACTAAAGATTCTTAATCCGTTAACTGAGCTTAACATCATTTAAAGGGTTATCATTCTACTTCTACAGGGGAAACTCTCACGAGGTTTTCTCCTTTTTCACAATGAAAACTTAAAGAGTCAAAAATACCGGGGTCATCCAGCAAGACTGCGAAGAAAAGTCTTACTGCCCGACCTTACTTCTTCCATGGAGACCACGATAGCTTTTGCTGGACAAGCGAGACCCTCTGGGAGACCCCTCACTGCAGCAGGGGCCCCAACCCAGGGAGCTCCCGGCCGCCGCCCGGGCTGGAGGGTCCGCGGAGCCGAAAAGCGCAACGCCGCTCCGTGGGGTCCGGCAGGTGTCCCCGGGGGCGCCCTACTCACCCTCCCGGGCCTCCCCCGCCCGCCGCCGCCCCTCACCGCCCCTCACCGCCCCTCACCAGCCTTGGGCCTGCGGGAGATGGCCGAGGAGAAAGAGGCCCGGAAACACCGTCTCCCGCTCGGAACCCACCTGCCCGCAGTTCCTTGGGCTGCGCAGCCGGGGGAGGGCGGTCGCCCGCCTCCTTCCCCATCCGGGGCGCCGGGGTCGCGGCGGCGGCCGAGCACTTCCGGGTCCGCCCCCTCCTCCGCGGCAGGAGCGCCCTTCCCCCGCCGGCGGGACTGCGAGGTCGCTGCTGCCCCCTCCCGGCGGCTCGGAGGCCCTCGCGGCTCCTCTAGGGAGGGCGCAGGCTCAGAGCCTAGGAAAAAGCAAATGCCCCACAGAAAGACGGGATTTGGCATCCGAACGCCAGGGATAGAGGCTGGGCTGTTAAAGAGAGATTATAAAGCCTACTTTATTGAGCTTCTGTTATTAAGCCGGGCGCTCAACTGGGGACTTCCCCTGCATCCGTGAGTTCACTGCACACCAATTCAGGGAGTACCTGCAAATACTGTTTTAGGGGCTCCTGGTACCGCAGTGACTGGAACAGACAAAAATCCCTGCTCTCCTGGAGCCTTCTGTCTTGTACATTGACCTGTAAAGTGATGATATCTTCATAGAGGACAGAACTGAAGCTCAGAGAGGTTGTGAGCCGTCCAAAGCCACCAGCTGGAAAGTGGATCAACGGAGATAAACATCCAGTTGTCTGTAGGTTCAAAGTGTGGTTCTTTCCTCTTTGCTGCCTAGAAGGAATTGGGGTGGAGGGCCCTGTGACCGAAAACAGACTGAGACCGAACAGGAGGTTGCTAATATTCAGCTGACTTCATAGATGCATAAACAGATGGAAGTAATAAAGAAGCAAAGGGATAGATACAGTAGAACGCAAGGGAGAGTGGGCACAAAAGTCAGAAAACCTGAATCAACTTATTAGCTGTATGACTTGGCAAATCACAATGTCTGAGCTTCGATTTCTTCATCTGTTAAGTGGAGAGAACTCTATTTGCTCTTGGGTACTTTACGGGGGACTCAAAAGGCTCAGATCATAAAAATGTTTTGTAAAGTGCTGGCTTTTATATAGCTGCCATTAGCTTACTTTGGTCATTGTTTTGATGGCAGTTCTCAAATGCAATAAATTCTGCAAAATGATCTCTTTCCATTTTTCTCCAGGTTTCTGTTCCAACATTTGGCAAGATTCCTTGGCTTAGTGAGGCCAGCCTCATAAACAAGCCATTAGTGCTCAGCATCCCCAAAAGGTAACAGCACAGCCACTGAGGGCAAAGGTTGCAAGAAAGACATCACAGAAGATGATTTCTGGGGGGAATTATCAGGGGCAAATCTGGTCAGTTGAGAAACCCAAGATGAATGTTCAAAAACCAGAAATGGCCCGGGTTTCTCAGACAAAAGTGGGCACTGAGTATAGGCTTGGCAGGGGGATGAGATCTCAATTAACCTCCCTCTCTACAATCACCACTCAACAATACAAAAGAATTTTGTCCCTGGATGCTGCCTATCCAATTTGAAACTTACTAATTTTAACCATCAAAAGTCTAGAACCATAAATTCCTGTCTTTAGAGAGTAGCGACTGCCCGTATGTCCCTTTGAGACAATCTCCTCCAATCTCACCAGTCCCGCTACTTCCAGACAAACTGCTATGGAACATGATTCTGTGTTTGAAAACTGGAGGTGTTTGTGTGTTAGTAGCATTTTAGTGCTGACACTTGAAATAACTGGGCTTCCTCATTCCTCCTCTACTTTTGGTCCCCGGCTGTGGTGATATAGCCTGCTCTGGGGAGGGGAAATGGAAAGAAGGGGGAATGTGAGGTAATGTGGGGGCAAATGGGAGAAATCAGAGGGGGAATAGGAGACACATACCCTCCTGCCCATAGATAAGTGAGTGTCCGTGAGGGACGCTCTCCCCAGGTCCCCTCTCCAGTAACATAGATGTTTGCTTTATCAGCTGCTCCTTTTAAAAGCCACATTCTCCGTAAACAGCTAGACAGATTTGTATATTTTCAGAGCACCTGTGAAGTGCTTGTTGCTCGTTTCTGCTATTTTTACTTAACTTTGTATCTAAACTCTAGCTCACGGTCTAGCTAATGTGAAATGGTTAGTGTTTGACGTCTAAGTAGAGTAACAGCTCGCTATCCCATCTTAGCCCTGTTCCCATTAGACCTGCCCCTGCAGCCGAGAGTAAAGTGTCACTGGGCATGGTGCTCTTGTTCCCTGACTGTACAGTTTTGGGGTCGGGGGTAGGGAGGGGGAACAGGATGGGGGCTTGAAGAAGGCAGACCCAGAATACAACTGGGCAGCCCCAGAACACAGCCAGGTCCTGGAGTATCAGAAAGGACAGACTATTGACAGTCAGAAGGGAAGGGGTAGTTTTCCCTCTCGCCAGCTAACCTTGAGCTAGTGGTAAGGAGAAATTACCTCGGTGGTCAGTGGAGCTCTACTCATTTCTAAACAGAGTATCTGGGCAGCAATCTCAACCGTTGTGAAGAGAAACCACACTTCTCTACCTCAAAAGACACTGGACACGCACCAAGGTGGTGCCTGGAGCTTGCAGGGAGACAACATAGGAATGCAAAGTCTTTTGAAAGGATGGTTTCTTTAAGTATCAACAATTCTTAATGACTAGAAACTCTTCATCTGGCTTAAACTCTGGGTTCCAAGCTCTTTGTTTTGGCAAAACCTTTTTCTCAGACCTCAGTAAGAAAGTTATAAATGTGCTTTAAGTATTACCTGGTTTGGGACAAGTAGTTCTAACACAGAACAGTCTAAAAAACAAAAAGAAACATTTAGTGAAATGTACTCAGAGCACCCCCAACTACAAGCCCCTGTACAAAGGTACAGGGCTAGATGAGCGGGGCCCACCTCCGAACACTGGGGCCTCCACAGACCTCCTTCCTTCAAAGAATACTGCCCTGCTACATGGAAGACACACTCATCATCAGTCTTAAAAGCCCGCAGGTCACACTGAGGCCCTGTTTGAGATTATTGAGTGCTGAAGCAGCTTGAGAGTGGCCTCTGGTCTCCTAGGTCAGCATTTGGGTGTCAAGTCCAAGGCAGGCTGTTCACAAATCAAAGATAAAGGCAGTGAAGGGGCTGGGTCAGACCCACTGCCCCTGTTCCACCAGGGCCCAAGGAAATGGTGAGGAGAAATGAAACTGTAAATGCCTCAGGAATACCAAACTCCTTTCACATGCCCGAGTTCTAAATGAACAATGAACAATGAAATCTTTCCTCATTAGAGAGGAGAGGTGCTCCTGGCGTGCCAAGTTTCCATTTCTGGAATGCCAGGGGCATGCAGAGTGTTGCACACATAAGCAGTTCGTGATGACCAGGCCCCCTGAATGCCTTGGCCCCTTCTATTGTAATAAAATGAACCACAACAGCTGTGAGGCAGGTCACACCCTGTGAGGAGAACTGATATTGTCCTCACTAGAAAGAAAGAATGTTCCAGAGTGGCTGGAGGAAGAATATGTTCCATGGGAAGAAATGAGTGGATTCAGTGTCCAAGGACACAGACTCCCAAGAAAGCAGACCAGGCATGAAAAAAACCTGCACTTATTAAATATGAATAACTTCTACACAGGTCTTTTCAAGGAGATCTGGTTGCATTTCACCCATTACACATTTATGAACAACTTTTTTCCTGCCTTAATTTGTACAGTGTCTCCCAACAATTCACAACTGGCATTGGTTAGTTCAAAACAAAAGGACAGAGAAGCCAGAATCACTTAAGAGGGCAAAGCCATCCTTTGGAAGCTGCCAAATGGTCTGTGCCCTTCAGGACTGGGGTGGGAAACAACTCTTCGGAGTGTCCCCTGGTTATCTCTCTTGGAAAGGAAAAAATTTTTCTCTGCCCTTCAGGTTTCTTCTGGCTGGTCTAAGAAACAAATTGACATGAGACACATTACTAAGAGAAAATCAAATTTAATTTTGTACATACAAGAACCCACATGAGATTCCAAAGACAGTCATGCCAAATGTCACATCTATGTCATCCTGAACTAAGTAAGGAGAAGGGGGCAGGGGTTGGCGACTTCAAAGGGAAGGAAAACAATTCACAGGAAGAATGGAAAGAGTTAATGTTTGGTAAACAAATGTTTGCTGGGCCATCCAGAAACAATGGGACACAGAGATGAATTTCAACAGACTTTGCGTAAGTTCCTCCCAGTCTACCTTACCTAGTTGATATTGTATTACATATAATCTATGGGATAGCTCTCCTCCTGGAGCAGGTCCTCTGTCTAAATTCTTTTAGGCAGTTAAGGGGAAGGTCAAAGTTTCTTCCTGAGTCTTTTGGGCCTTGGTTGTTTTCAGCTCAAAATAATCTGCAGGCCAGAGTGGTACATCTTGGGCCTGTTCATTTTGACCCCTACATCTCTGAAACAACCAAGGGCTTGGCTCTTCAAACCAGAGACTGTGGTTCTAACTTGCTTTGCTTTGATTACTTCAGATATCCTCATGCCTCTGCCACTTTTCTGATTTCATCCAAGAAGGATAGGAATTTGCCTATTTTGTTTCAAGTTCCAGATGTCTTATCTAAGGTACACAATTTTATTTTTTAATTGAAAAGAAACCCATAGTGGTTCCAGGATGACACTGAATGTAAATGTAACGGTGTTTCCTATCTCTTAGCAGAGCTGTGGGCCTGGAACATCATCATTGTTCCATAGATAGTTGTTGAATGAAAAGAATGAGCATCGCAGGCTCACCCAAGCTCACGTGCACTAGCACTAAGAATAAAGGTTACAATCATCAAAAAGTGAAAACAAACAAACACAGTCCTCTTGAGAAACAGGCCCTGAGGCCTTCAGAGACAGCTGCTCAGCCTGTGTCCTGAGCCAGTCCTAGCTTCTGGAGCCTCTGACCCTGTCCCATCACCAACCCTGGATCCCTTATGTCTCCCACGTACAAGATCCTACACCTGTGGAATTTCCTATTGTCCTCCTATCCCCTCCACCTCCCAGAAATCCACCGTGACTGGTTCCTGGGTGACACTCCTTACACCGCAGCGCCCAGAGGGTTCCCGATCTTAGAGGTGCGCGGAAGTCAGCAGTGCGGGAGACAGAGGGAGGGAACTCCCGGGCGGACGTGCAGTTCCTTAACTGAGAAGTACACAGGGCGGCTGCTGGTGGGCGTGGGCGGCGTTCCTAAACACTGTCACAGCGCCCCGCTCCCCGCTCGTGGGGACGCCCCATCGTGGGGACAGCTCCGCTTTGCGAGCCACCAGGGGGCCGGCCGTCGTGACAGGAGGTAGACCCCTGCTTAGGGAGGCCTTCCGTGGTTTAGCGTCGATAGGGAGAGGGGCGAGTCCGACGCACCTCCACGAACAGGTGCGCGGACCGCGCAGCTGCACAGCGGTCGGGCGAGGCGGTGGGCGGGACAGGAGGGGTGAGCAGGGAGCACCAGGGAACGGGTCCAGAGGAAGCGGCTCCCGCATGTGATCTGGAAGGTATTTCCACAGCGGAGGGAAGCAGCAGGGGAGCAAAGACGCGGAGCCTGAGCGTGCAGGAGGGCTTGAAAACAAGGGATCAGGCCGCAGCTGCGGGCTGACGGGGAACGGGACCGCGCGGGTGGGTGTGCCCAGCCCGAGCGCAGAGGGCCCCGGGGGCCGGGAGCAGCGGGGAGAGATGTTCCAGGTTTTCAGCGCAGGACAGTTAGGGACAGGGCTGTGCTTGAGTCACGGCACTAATCCCCCAACCCCCGGGACAGGCTTGTAGGTGCGAGTGCCCCCGTAACGTGCACCGAGGGGGCTGAGCCCGGACAGGATCCGCCGGGCAATTGCTGCAGAACCAGCTGGAAGCCTTCCGGTCACTGTCTCTTTGAGCTTCCGATTTAGACAGGCTCTCCCATGCCACCGAGCACCTCCTCATCCCAGGTGAGCTCTGAGTCTCAGTGCATCGTGCCTTCCGAGGCATTAAGACTCTAGGCCCCAGACCCGCTGGGCAGGAGGCGGCGGGAGAAGAAAGCATTTATTTAATAACGGCCAGGGCGAGTTCGAGAGGCCCATCTTCCGCAGGGCTTAGAGTTTCATGGCTGCAATACTCCGGGTGACCATTAGAGAGCAGCCAAGAGCAAGAGCTTTCCGGGACTTGGCCGGTAGGCTGAGCCAAGGAGGCCAGTCTCTGGGCAGGCCCAGGAATCCGCCCATCGTTACTCCTGCAAGGGAAGGAGAGCTCGGGGACCTCGCCCTCACCCTCAGCGCGCTGGGGCCTGATCCTCCACCTCTCTCTCCCCCTCTCTGCGCCTGTGTGTGAAAAACAGTTGCCCCTGCAGGTAGGAAAGGCAAGCAGGTGAAGAGAAGGCAAGAGTTTACCTTTGCCATCTTAGGGTGTTTGGCCGCGCCAGAGAATTAATTGATGTAAGACAGATTAACGGCAGAAGAGCATACACGTGTATTTAATGTAAGTTTTACGTGACACAGGAGCCCTCAAAAGGAAATGAAGACCCAGAGAAGTGGCAAGACCTGAATGTTTTTTATGCTAGGCTGAACAAAGAGAGGCAATGGTGGGAAAGTCCCTAAAATAGACGGGGTGGCTAAAGGAAGAGAAACATTATTTTAACAAGGTCTGGGTGTGCAGATTTGCACAGAGTTGGCTGTGACCACGAAGGCCTGCTCATGGACCCGGTGAGGTAAACACGGATTCAGCAGGCACCTGCTCCTTTCTGGAAAGAAACTGTGCTGTATCTGGTGGGAGTGCAGTGCACTGTGGACACCCTATCTCTTCCTTTATCCTCTAAATCAGGGACCCGCCAAAAGGCTGCCTCTGAGCACAGGTGCGAAGGTCCCGCCACCTGGCTCCCTTGCCCTTCCCAGTCACAGGTCAGAGGGCAGGACTTTGAGCACTCACATTCCAAGTGGCCTTCCTGCCCTGCCCAGGCGCCGTCCTGTGGTAGAGGCAGGTGTCTGGGTGTCTGCAGCACTGTTCACCCACGGACAGAGAGACAGAAAGGAAACTGAGGCTCGGAGACTGAAAGACGGGGAGAGGAAGACAAACAGCCACAAAGGCAGAAGCTGAGAGAGACACAGAGAGGTAGGTGGGGCACAGAATACAAAAAAAAAAAAAGGAAACGAGGAAAGGCAGAGCTGACAAAGAGGAAAAATAGAAAATGAACACAAAGAAATGGAGCCTCGACCCTGCGCCGTTTAGACATCTGCCCTGCGGAGCGGCTCCTTCGTCAGGAAGGACGTTCAGCGGCCAGTGACAGGCATGGACTCCTCCAGATGTCGCGAAACAGCCCCGGGCACTACCAGGTGGCACAAGGGAGGCCCCGCGGTGACAGGCTTGCAGCTCCCCAGCAAGGCGGCGCCGACGGGGGCCACGTGGGGCCTGCAGTTGGAGACGCTGGGACCCCTTGGCCTACTTGCCGGGTTGGGTGTCGCTGAGCAAGAGCTACTCAGGAACTAATGGAATCAAAAATGCTGCCGCATTCCCTCGGCTCCTGCCCGCACCGCTTCTCTCCTCTCTTTGATCTGGGTTTGTTGTTCCAGTCTCAGGAGTCAGAGTCTGGAGGAGAGCAGAACTTACCTCGCTCTCAGCGGACCTGTGACAAAGAGCTTTGCCTAAAGACGCTGCAGGGCCCATACATGGCTGGGAAAAAACACAGGAGGGCAACCACCCATTGTCTCACCACCAAGAGCTTGTTTCCTTATTTCTCTCTCGCTGGCTCTGCTTTTGACAGCCCATGACCACCACAGAAACTACCCTGCCTACTCCCCAGTCCTTTTCCTCTATCTATTGACCAGACCCATGTAACTGCAGATACGATTTTAAAAGGGAGGTAATAATGACCACCACTGATCTGACGGTAATAAAACCAAGTTTAATAAGTCTGGACGGTAAATGCATGGCTGTTGATAACACTTTGTGCAGGTTTGAAATGTTTCTGAGTCAACCATATGAGTATTTAAAAAAAAACTATATTCAGCTTTATTCTTTAATGGAGATGGCTGGTATTTTCAGATCGCAGGAAGATGTGTAATTTTCAGAGGGTTCTTTTTTGGAATATTGAAAATAGCTCTCTGATCACCACTTTTTTTTCTAAGGGATATAGGAATCATTATGCCCTCATATGGATCCTAAGAATCCACTTTCTCAATGAGGAAAGGTGATCTTCTTTTGACCCTTTATCCAAGGAAGTTTCTGGCTCACTGAAACAAAATGTATGTTTGGACAAATCTCTTAACCCTTCTGGGTCACAATTTGTTGTGTTCACTGAAAGGATTGAACTAGAGGTGACCCACGAGGTGTCTCTCACTGAAGGCAGGAGTGGAAAGGAGGAAAGGAACAGAGGTGTCAAAGGGCAGGGAGGATGGAGGCAAATTTGTCAGTGCTCCTCAGCATGCTCATGAGGGCTATTTTTAAAATCACCATCTGGTTCTTTTACATTTTCAGTTTTTGTTATGTGGAGAGGTATGTGTGTGTGTGTGTGTGAGACAGAGAGAGAGGTGGAGAGAGGGAGAAGGAGAGAAACATGTTTCTCTGTTTCTTTATCAAAGATTCAAGAAGGCCAAGGACTTGGGCCATGAGCCAGACCTTACGAACCTCAGCAGGTATTAACCTCAAGTATTAAGACGTCTCCCATCGTGACATGTGAAGAGCGGACTGGCTTCTGGCCCGGCTGAATTGTGCGTCGTACCTTGGCCGGCCTACAAAAGGTTGTTCTCACTTTCTCGTCACAGCTGCCATCTGCCATCCTGGGGACAGCTGCTTGGAAAATGAGAACCCCACTACCATGTCAGCATTGCTTTTCTTGGTGGCTCTGACTCTGCAGGTGATACCACCAGGGGCCTGTGCTCTGAAGCCCCAGCCAGTTCACTTGCCATCCCTGCTACTGCTGCTGAGCCGGCCTTGGGGAAACCAAGAGTGAGCAGCAAGTGCTGCAGGAGGGGAAGACCTTTGGTTCCAGGGCTGGGAAAGAAAGCAAGGCAGTGGGTGGGGGGACGCGGGGAAGCGGAGGTCTACAGAACATGGAATCCCAAATTGTTTGCTTCGATTTCCTTGTACACACATAAGTATATGTTACGTGTGATAGTTTAAAATGCTTACAATGGGGGCAGCTGGGTGGCTCAGTCGGTTAAGTGTCTGCCTTCGGCTCAGGTCATGATCCCGGGGTCCTGGGATTGAGCTGCACGTCGGGCTCCTTGGTCAGTGGGGAGTCTGCTTCTCCCTCTCCCTCTGCCCCTCCCCCTCAGCTCGAATGCCTACTGTGTGCCAGATTCTTGATGGGCTCTAGGGATGCAAAGATGTTTGAGATGTGTTTTTGCTTTTCAAGAACTCCCAGCCTGGTGGAGGAAATAAACACATTTAAAAAAGAAAGAAAGAGAGGAAGGGAGGGAGGGAGGGAGGAAGGAAGGGAAAGAAAGAAAAAGAAAGAAGAAAGAAAGAAAGAAAGAAAGAAAGAAAGAAAGAAAGAAAGAAAGAAAGAAAGAAAAGAAAGAAAAAGAAAGAAAGAAAGAAAGAAAGAAAAAGAAAGAAAGAAAAGGAAGAAAAAGAAAGAAAGAAAAGGAAGAAGAAAGAAAGAAGAAAGAATAACAGGACAAAATACAACAAAACGCTATGCCAAGTCTGTGATGGAATCAGAATGGCAAGCACCCAAATCAGGTTCGGGGTGTGCAAAATGATAAGAGGGCCAGGAAAAAGACTTTCTGAGAAAGTAATAGCGAAGTTATGTCTTAACAGATGAGGAGTTAACAGAGTTGGCCAGGACGATATATAAAGCATTTTGTCTTCAGGTCCCACAGGATGGCAGTCGTCATGGTTATGCAACTTGGGAGTCACATCTGCAGCCGTCATTAACCTGGCAAGATCTGCATGCACCCTGAAGGCCTCTCAGATATGTCTGTTGCTTGATTTGCAATGAACTCTTATTCTTAATGTAGAAACCAGAAATCTGGAAAAGGAGAAGGAATCCACTACAGGAAAAATAAGAATCTGCTGGTAACTCCACCAAAACCAAATCTGCCCAAAGATCCTCCCACTGCCACCTCCACCTGTCTATGCCTTCTGCATCCTTTCAGACTCAGTGTAAATGCCACTTCTCGAAGCTTCTCCTAATCCTGCAATGGGACATAGTCTCTCTTTTCTGGAGGCCCAGAAATATCGTTGCTGCTTCTGTGATATCTAGTGCATCCAGCCTTGGATGACAGTTTCAGAGATGTATCTTAGTCTCAGAACTCACAGAGGTGAGGGATGGGAGGAGGAGCCAAACCCCGGGAGATACCACCCCCAGGAGATCAGAGAAGATCTGGCAGAAGGTAGAATCTTCCAAAGGCCCAGGAGTCTCTGCCTCTCTGACCTCTCTGCCCACTCCCCACACCAGACAGCTAACCTCGGTTACCTGATGCCAATGCTCTAGGTCATTATTCCGCGGTGCCACAGTGTTCCCCGGGGGTTGGAATGTCCTCACCCCACCAACACCTACCCAAGCATTGCCGGCTCCAGTAGCCCTTCTCAGACCCTTCCGTCTATGCCCCACCCTCCCACCCCCCCCCGCCCCAGGTGAGCTCTTTGGCTTTTTTCCGTTTCACAGTGGCTTCAACATACTTCTGTCATAGTACCTTCCACACCATTGTGCTTCCTTGTACGCAGTCTGCTGGGTGGTGCGCAGCTTGAGGTCAGATCAGGGACCCCAGTATCTAACGAACGGGCAGATGAGTGAATTTGTGTCTTTCCCTGGCCTGCCTTAGGGCCAGAAAATGTCTTATTCATCTCTGTGGCCTCAGCCCAGCACCCCCCACAGGGTGGCCTCACAATAAATGTCCGTTGTTGAATGAATGAATCAAGCTGTTCACACTCATGCTTTAACATACCAACCCACAACATTGTAATACGCAGTTGATTCTCTTTAAATGGCCTATAAAAATGAAATGTATTTTAAATATTTGTCAAAAGAATCCAACTTTGTCTCCAGTTTTCAGTCTTCGTCCCTTCAATAATAGTGCCTCACCCAAACACTCTATGTCTCTCAGAGGATGAAGCTACTCGCAGACCAGTCCCCTGAAGGTCACCCTGGGAGCACACCCCAGGCCCTCCCCGTGCTGCAGAGACATATTCCTCCTCTCCCGGTTCCCCACCCCTCACAGGGCAGCAGCAACGGGTCAGTCCACAGGGGTACACACATGTAGTAAGAGGTCAGCAGACCATCGAGTGGCAGGGGCGGGGGGCTTTAACTCATAGTTATTGTCTGTCCCTCCGACCCTCTTCTCCCCTATATTATGCTCTTCCTATGAACATACCTCATGGCTCTGATGTCAGTGTGAGCAAAGAAGGGTAAGTTGCACCTGTATCACTATATTAGACACCGATTAGTCTGTGGCTCACCCCCTCCTGCCTAAACTCTTTCTGAACCTCCCACCGGCAGCCACGCCTGGACTCAGCATCCACCTAGGATGGGGCTGAGACCAGAGACTCCCTCTGTTTTATGGAAGGAATAACTGTTACCTCTCTTACTCCTCCAGCCCTGTCCCCCTTCTTTGCTGCCCCGAGTACCCCCACTGTTTCCTCACCTCCCTGTGTTTCTCTCTCCCCTCAGGCCAGGAGGATCCAGAGTAACCCCATGCTGATCAGAAACAAGCAGCTGTGCTCCACATGTCAAGAAATAAAAATGGTAGGTCAGCGGGATGGCAGAGATGAGCATGGGCCTCCCAGGGCACAGCACTACCCCTCCCCCACCAGAGCCCAGTGGAGAGACAACACTTTTTGCAGGGAAGGCTGCAAATAAGGACCTGTTGGCCCTAGGAGCACCATTATCTGACACAATGCAATAAACCCTCTCCATTTTCAAGAAACCAAAAGATGAATTAGGGTAGGTGAGTCAGAGGGGTAGAGATGAGACGAGCCACTTTATTTTGAGATCCTAAAGTAACTACACTGCTGTAGAGGTTCAGGAGGTTGTGGAACTTCTCCCCACCTTAACATTTCCCCAATACAACGCAACACAACGCACACCCATACAACACAACCTGCTTCTACCATTACAGTCATGAAACAAGCAGCTTAATCTTTGGGTATATCAATTCAATCAGCACCTCAGAATAAAAGCTAAGGAGAGATCCTATAGTGCTTTCCAGCCAGTGGGGGGTGTCTATAACTGGTGGTGCAGAATGGTGGGGGATGAAGGATGACAAGGGGATATGGGGGAAACAAGGACAAAGCTCTGCCATCTGTCAGAGTTGCTGCTGAAAGAGGCCTGCGTCTGGAGGAATGCTGTACAGGCCAGCGTTAGGACTTGGGTCAGGTTAAGGATTAGGGTTAGGGTCAGTCAGGCTTGGGTTGAAGTTTAATTTAGTTAAACAGTTAGGTTTAGGGTAGGAGTTGAGTAAGGGTTTTTACAATTCTGATATCCTATGATTCTCCTTTGACTCTGGGCTTATGTGCAATAAGAGGAAGGGCAGGAGTAGAAGAAAATCAGGAGACATGAGAGAGCCTCTGATGCGTTAATGGCGAAAGTGCTTTGACTAATAGGATATGAAAGAGACCAGCAGTTTTGTGAAATTTTTCTGTGGGATTTGGAAATTTAACTGAAGCTATGGACAAAGATGTATCTGAATGTTACAATCTGTGTTCATATTCTTCTTAATTAAGATCACAGCGTTCAATATTAGCGTTGACTGGAATCTGGGAAACTGGGATTGGGATTTCTCCTGGTCTTATTCCTGGAATCACTGTATCCACATTTAGAATGCACTGACCCTGGGCCCAAGCTGACTTTTGCCAGATGGCTCACTTGGGACTTCAGCAGCTGCTCTCTTTCTCAAGACCTCTTCTCTGAACTTTGCCCTTGCCCAGGCCTGACTGAAGTAGAACCACACACTGTGGTTTTACCATTCACTGCAGATCCCAAAAAGGAAGACCTCAAACATGAAAGTCAGAACCAGTGCATATGCCTGTAGGAAACTATAGAAAGTTAGAAAATGAGCATGAAATAAATACACTTGCTTCACTATGTGCAACAATGCTTCATATTCCTCCTGGGGTTGGGGTACTGCATTTCTGCTGTAGTCACCAAGACCCCTCATTTCTCAGCAGGGGGCTGAAGGCAGATGCTGGGGAAGATAAAAAAGGCTCCTAGGGGCACCTGGGTGGCTCTGTCATTAGGAGTCTGCCTTCGGCTCAGGTCATGATCCCAGGGTCCTGGGATCGAGCCCCACATCAGGCTCCCTGCTCAGCGGGAAGCCTGTTTCTCCCTCTGCCACTCCCCCTGCTTGTGTTCCCTCTCTAGCTGTCTCTCTCTCTGTCAAATAAAATAAAATCTCTAAAAAAAAAAAAAAAGAAATAATAATAATAAAAAAGGCTTCTAAAATAGAAGGAACTTCCTCAACCCAATAAAGCATATCTATGAAAAACCAACAGCTAACATCATACTCAATGAAGAAAGACTGGATATTTTCCCCTTAGATCAGAAACAAGACCAGGATGTCCAATCTTGCTGCTTCTGCTTAACATCGTACTATGTGTTTTAGGTGGGGCAGTTAAGACAAGAGAAAGAAATAAAAGGCTACCAGATTGGAAAGGAAGATATAAAGCTGTATTTTCAGATGGCATAATCTTATATCTAGAAAGTCCTAAGGGACCCACAAAACACAATTAAAGCTAATAAATGAGTAGAGCAGAGTTACAGGATACAAGGTCAATATACAAAAATCAATTCTATTTCTATATACCAGCAATAAACAATCCAAAAATGAAATTAAGAAAACAGTTCCATTTGCAATAACATCAAAAAATTAAAAAACTTAGAAATAAATTTAACAAAATAAATGCACAACTTGTATATCAAAAGCTATAAAACATCATGTAAAGAAATTTAAAAAGACCTAAATAAATGCAAAAAAACCATGTTTACGGATTTTAAGATAGCAATACTCCCAAATTGATCTACATGTTCTGTATGATTCCTCTCAAAATCTCATATGATGTTTTTGGAGAAATTGACAAGCAGATCTTAAAATTCATATAGAAATGCAAGAAATGCACTATAGCTAAAACAATCCTGGAAATGAAAACAAAGTTGGAGGACTCACACTTCCTGATTTCAAAACCTACTATAAAGCTACAATAATCAGGACTTTGTGGTACTGACATAAGGATAAACATACAGATCAGTGGAAAAAAAAATTAAGAGTCCAGAAATAAAACCTTACATCTGTGAACAACTAAAAAAAAATTTTAACAGGAGAAAATCAAATTTAATTACATACTACGGGATCTCCATAAGAATAAGAGGTCCTGAACAGCTGATTTTTGACAAAGGTGTCAAGACAATTTCATGAGGAAAAAACAGTCTTTTCAGTAAATGGTACTGAGACAATTGTATATCCATATGCAAAAGAATGAAGTTATGTCCCTCCCTCACGCCATATACAAAAAATAGCTACAAATAGATCAAAGACCTAATTGTGAGAGCTAGAACACAAACACCTAGAGGAAAACATAGGTGTAAATATTCATGACCTTGAATAACATAATGGTTTCTTAGATGTGACACCAAAAGCACAAACAACAACAAAAACTACCTAAATTCACCTTCATCAAAATTAAAAACTTTTTTGCTGCAAAGAACACCATCAAGAACATGAAAAGACAACCCACAGAATGGGAGAAAATGTTTGCAAATTATATATCTGAAAAGGAACTAGAATCCAAAATATATTTTTAAAAAGTTTACAACTCAACAATAAAAACACAGACACATTTCAAAATGGACAAAAAATTTAAATAAACATTTCTCCAAAGAAGATATTCAAATGGCCAATAAACACATGAAAAGATGCTCAACATCATTAACCATTAAGGAAATGTGACTGAAACCATAATGAGACATTATTTGACACCCACTAGAATGCCCATAATAAAAAAGTGGACAATAACAAGTGTTGGCGAGGATATGGAGAAACTGGAATCCCCATCCATTGCTGGTAGGAATGCAAAACAAATGCAACTGCTCTAGGAAACAGCAATTGGCAATTCCTCAAAAACTTAAACATAGAGTCACCATATGACCCAGCATTTCCATCCTAGATATATACCCAAGAGAACTGAAAACATATGTCCATACACAAACTTGTACAAGAATGTTCATAGCAACATTAATTCATAATAGCCAAAAAGTGAAAATACTTCAAAGGTCCATCAACTGATGAATGCGTAAACAAAATGTGATCCATACAATGGAATATTATTCAGCCATGAAAAGAAGGTACTTATATATGCTACAACCTGGATAAACTTTGAAAACATTTTGTTACGTAAAAGAAACCAGTAAAGGCCACGTGTTATATTGATTTCATTTATATGAAATGTCCAGAATAGGCAAATCTGTAGAAACAGAAAATAGATAGTGGTTGCCAAGGACTTGGGGAACGAATGAATGAAAATGAGTGCTAATGAGGACAGAGCTTCTTTCTTGGCTGTTGAAAATCTTCTGGAAGTAGATAGTGGTGATTGTTGTGCAACTTTGTGATGCTACTGAAAACCACTGAGTTGTACATTGAGATGGTGAATCTTAGGTGTCTGAATTAAAAAAAAAAAAAAAGATTAGCACTAGAAAAATATTTTTAAAAATAAAAGCATAAGTGGGGTGCTTGGATGGCTCAGTCAGTTAAGCGTCTGCCTTCAGCTCAGGTCATGATCCCAGGGTCCTGGGATGGAGCCCTGCATCGGGCTCCCTGCTCTGTGGGGAGCCTGCTTCTCCCTCTCAACCCCTGCCCCCACTCATGCTCTCTCTGGCTATCTCTGTCTCTCAAATAAATAAATAAATAAATCTTAAAAAAATAAAAGCATAAAGTGGATGAGTATCAAAAAAGAAAAATCCTAGTAGGACCTGTTTTGTATGACTACTCATACTCCTGGGTATGAGTACTCTGGGCCAGGAGCTCAATTATTTAGTGTGGAAGAAATTACCTACTGAAAGTTATGGCTGTGAGTCACCAGGGGTAGCCACCTTAGTTTTATGTAAATTGTCTCTTATTACGTGTCTACTCCAAACAGCTCATCTTCCCCTTAAAACATCTATTTTGTAGTCCTTCTGTTATGTGCATTGCTCTCTAATACACACTTTCAAGCCCCTTCAAAGTAGGATGTCAGGCTGGAAATACTATAGGGAGCCATTCTCTAACATATGTATGTTCATTGGTCTCAAAAGTCTATTGACGTAATTCAGTTCATTTCAATAGGTATTTATTGACTGCCTACCATAGGCCAGGTACTTAGGTAATAGCTCAGCAACAAAGGAAAAAATAAATAAATAAAAGAATAAGACATAAGCCCTACCTTTAAGGAGCCAATGGGTAAACAAATAATGATAATAAAATGATGAATAGAAATAGCAATAGACCTGGTAGGATGTGAACAGGCATGGAAAGTAGATATCAGAGAAGTCTTCCCAGAAGAAGACGATGCATAGTTTTCAAGACTGAATAGGAGTTGCCCACAGGGCACACTTCTTCTCAGGGACAAAACTGCTATCTTTGGTAGCTTTGTTCTGGGGTAGCCCCCGATAGCCCATTCATGCATACAATAGCACTAGCTGGATTTAGGGGCTTTTGAAAAGGGGTCGTATAATCAGGAGAAGGTAGAGAGTTTCCTCCATCTTTCTTTGCAACAGAGCCAATTTCAGAAGAAATTTTAAAAAGGCAGTGTGTCTCCTTCATTCTCATCCCTTTTATGTATCTAGAAGCCTCTTACCAGGTTCTCATCAAAGCCTTTGCTGCCCTCACTACTCCCATATGCTACTGTTACCAGATCATTTCTTTCCTCCTCCTAGATGCTTCCCCTCAGCTAATGAGTTACAACAATCTGATTAAATACCGTAAGTGATTGGCATTTCTATAGACCTAATGTTCAGATTCTTCTCTCTTTTCAAGCACCTCTGAAGGCCCTTAACACATAGTAATTTGCAGCTTCCTTGTGTCATACATTTAAATCACAAGTCACTCAATGAATAGCCCAACTGAACACCTGCACCCACATCTTGTGATTATCTTTTCATTGTCCCGGCTATGATATCTTTTGAGAAATGTTGGGGGAAAAAGTGATTCTTAGTGAAAGCCTGAGCTCCTAAAGAAAACCAATATCTAGTGTGAGTAACAAATCTGGAAAAGTTCAAGAAAATATTGTCTTAATCAGGAATAGGATAACTGTGTAATTTATTATAGTCCTCTAGGAAGGGCACACTTAAAACTTTCAAGTGTGCCTCAGAGTGGGTTCATTCATTCACTAATTTGATCAACAAGTATTTTTTGAACAGGCACTGTGTTAGAACCTGGAAATACAAAAATAAGGACATGGTCTCTGCCCCCATGAAGCTGAAAGTCTATGAGGGAAACCAGACATCAAGCAAGTAAATACAATAAAAACCTTAGGAGTATGTTGGTAGAGGAAGCCTGGGGAACAGTGAGAACGTAAGGCAGAGGACTACCTAACAGTGGTCCAGAAGTCAGTGGTGTCCGCGAGAGGCTGACAGGTGATCTGAGACCTGAAGAATTTTGGGGGGTGAGCTAAACAAAGAGAATTGGAGGCTTTACCAAACTTTAGGTTTCTAACTTCAAAATCTGATAACCAGGGAAGAACATAGACCCTATGACTTATGGGCAGGTGATCCCCTCTTGTTCATTCATATCACAGAAGAATATATGAATGATTCTAATATTAAATACAACTTGAGTTTGCTAAGGTGGTGCATTATTTATTTAAACTGGAATACAGTTTGGGGCAATGTTCTAAATGAGATTTTCTTTCTCAGGTACAACCAAGAACTATGATAATCCCTCATAATCTGAAACTATCCTTTGAGAATTTTATGAATCATAGGTAAGCCTAAGATTTAAATCAGGACATTATTTTAATTCTGTTTATATCAGTTTGGGGGCACAGAACAATGGATTAAGAAACATAATAAGTTCAGGGAATGCTTAGAGAATGGGCTTCTTGAGTGGTTTCATTTCCTGGTTAAACGAGAGAGTTAGACAAAAAAAGTTGTTTTCACCTTTTTGCTTGAACAGCTATTGAAATTACAGTAGAAAGCATAATCTGCCTTTCCACCTTCCCAAGAACAGTACAAAGAGGAGGATACAAGATTCCTTTGGTAACTCAGGCAGAACCGAGTACGCATTCTCCATGTAGATGACTTACGTAATTCAGAAGGTATGGGACATCACACACAATCTGTTCTCAGCCCAGGACATCCTCTGCTACTTTTCAGTAACCAAAATTCCTGTCATCAGTTTGTTTGGTTGTCGTTTGCTGCTTTCTTATCAAGATCAAGTATATAAAAAAATAAAATCCAGTCAGAATTTTGATTAGTTGGATTTCAGGGATCCCCCCCCCCCCCCCCCGTATTTAACTACTATCAGAAAGGGAAAAAGGACTTTAAAGAAGCTTTTACTTCATTAAAAACACTTGAAATACAGACTCACCCTGGCTAAAGCACCAATGTAGGTAGACTTGCCTTAACCATAGATGGTTGGAATGTAGGCAAACAGTCATGGTCAGATTTGATGTGACTAATCAAAAAAGTTATATGTGATCCAATGGCAATCTTCAACTTTTTTTCCTCATAGAGAAAGCAAAATATTAAAAAACAGATAGGTCTTTTTGTAACCTTATGTTGGACAGCAGTAGATGTTAGGATTCCTTTTATGAAATTTGCTCCAACCTGCAGTGTAGACTCAGATGTATGGAACCCATGTGCTGGGTGCCTGGTCCAGAGAGACAGGGTCAGGGAGGAGTGGGTAGTGTATTTGAGCACAACACACTCCAGCATTAATAACGTTTACCTGCAACTTTTTCAAAGCTCCTATCAGATCATAATAAAAGTAATTCAAATAAATATTCTGTATAGACTTTAAATAGAAAACGAAACTAAAGTCTGGGATTTCCGAGCAAAAGTTTCACTCCTCTGTGACAGAAACTTTTGAAATTTGTTGCCCCAGTTCATTTATCTTGCAAGTTTGGTATTTTAAATAAAGTCCCAAATTCCAGAATCATTAGCTGATTTTAAACAAATAACTCTTATTCCTTGAGGTAGACTAAGGGTTGAACCAATCCTAAAATCACGTCTACACCAACCTGAAGTATCACTAGATGGGTCATTTTTTTCAATGTAATGAAGGAAAACAGACCACTTCTGTTTGAGATTTAGCTTGTGTGACTATAAAGTAAGGTCCTGGTTCTGTTTGTAGCTTATAAAATCTGTCCTCACGGTTTTTGAGTCTCTCTCTATATATAGGCAGGTAGAATTGTCCTTACCAAAATAAGAGTTTTTCAAAAGTGACTTTAATTGTAACCATTGTAGAAATTAAGTGAAGTTTGTTGAATGGAAGGAATGAAGGAAAGAAGGAAGGGAGGGAAGGAGAAAAAGAGAGAGAAAAGATGAGTGGAGAGATACATATTTGTTGAATTATAGTGCAAACAAATCTTAATTACTCAGTCTTAGAAATACCACCTTCCTGTTTGTTCAACATGGGTAATAGGAGGAATTTTTCTTTTCCTTAGTCCCACTGATTCCTCCAATGGCAATTGAGTAAGATAAACTGGCCAGATGTGCCATATTTTTGGTGGCAAAGTAAAAATAATCTTGGAAAACCTTTGTAGAAATGGAAACAATGAGGGGCGCCTGGTTGGCTCATTTGTTAAGCGTCTGCCTTCGGCTCAGGTCATGATCCCAGGGTCCTGGGATCGAGCCCCGCATCGGGCTCCCTGCTCCGCGGGAAGCCTGCTTCTCCATCTCCCACTCCCCCTGCTTGTGTTCCCTCTCTCACTGTGTCTCTCTCTGTCAAATAAATAAATAAAATCTTAAAAAAAAAAAAAAAAGAAATGGAAACATTGAAATGAGTGCAGATCCCATCAAAGTTTACAGATTTGTCAGTCTTTAGAAATTAAGCAATTTAACGTAGAAATGGTTTGGACTCATATCATTTTGGTCAAGGGTCACTTCCATAGCCTTAGCCACCAGGAGAAATAGGAGATGTAGTCAAGACATTTTCTCTAAAATTGGAAGGTGAAATAGGTGATGGGGATTAAGGAGTAGACTTGTGATGAGCACTGGATGATTAAAATAAAAACTAAAAAAAAAAAATTAATAAATAAAAATAATCTTTATAAAAGTTGATTTAGGGTTACCTGGTGGCTCAGTTGGAAAAGCATGCTACTTTTGATCTCAGGGTCGTGAGTTTAAGCCCCACGTCGGGTGTAGAGATTACTTAAATAAATAAAGATTTTTAAAAATTTCTTTAATCAAAGTTGGATTGACAACAAAGTATTTCTAAATGGTTTCTGTCTTGCTTTAATAACATTCAACAGTAGACAAACTAGTCTTGCAGAATAATATTGATGGGAATAAAAGAAGAGATTTTAAGGCAAAAAAATAAAAATAAAATTAGAAGGTTCTAACCAAAATATTCTGTTTTGCACTTGGCAGGGTAGATTACTGATCTGGAAGAGTTGTTCTTTTTTTTTTTTTTTTTCCTGGAAACTGGAGGATTCTTGATTCCTTCTATTTAGACCACACATGTTCTGACAATGAATAAAATATTTTTTTCAGGAAGTTTTTATCAAAAGTCATAAAAGTGAGAGAGCTTGAGATATAGTGGTCTCTGGCCCCATCATCTTAGACTGTGGCAAAGTGGTCTGAGCACCAGGTTAACAGGTGCTGGTTTCAAAAGAGCACCTGTGTTTTAAAATGTATAAAGGCACATTCCTTTCCACTGGGCCTTAGCCACATAACTGATGTGTTTTCTTGCTTCTTCCAAACAGAACGATGAGTCTTCCTCCACCAAAAGCCCAGACTGTATCCAAATGTTCCCATAATGACATCTCAACAGGTTTGTGTTCGGAGTACTTGTAGTGGGGGACATACTACCTCTAGAGTAGTAGGACGAAAAGTTTAATCCCTAAGATAGTTTCTACATTTTCCGAACAAGTTCCCTCTGTCTGCCCCTTTCTCTTTTCACATACTGCTTATGGCCTGTTTTGATTGCCCCCCAGCCCTCCCTTCAGACCAGCCCCGCCTGGCCCCTCTCCAGGCCTCACTGACCTTCATCTGTGCCAAGCTCCTTCCCAGGTCTTCTCCATGCCACAGGGATCTGCCCCATTCTTTCTAAAGAGCCTCATACCTACTTGCTGAAGAATTTTCACGGAAATGGGGCACAAAGTAGGTAATTCCCTTTCAGGCAGTTAAGGTGGGAAAGGAACTGCATCCCCACACCCTTGGAATGGCCTCTCCAAATCCCTGAACCTCCCATCCCACAGGCTTCCTAAAGCACCTGCCTTCTGGCAGCTGCCCAGTGCTATTCTTATGTCCACTTGCTATTAATAGACAAAAGGATAGCGGCTTCAGCTCCAGCTTCGTCATCGACCTATGTCTCATCTTTTAGAGACATCACCACTGAGCTGGTGAAGGTGGGTGCAGGTTAGTCTTTGGGGGGATACAGCTCAAGGGGTTGGTGCAGTAGAGGCTGTTATGTTAGTAAGTTTATCCATTTCCTCATTTGCTCCCATATTAACTGAGGCCACCTCTGGCTTTTCTCTCATTTAATATACACAAGAAGGAAAATCGAGATCCCTTTCCTTGCTTTATACAAATGGGAGAGTCTAATCTCCATCGGCAGGGGAGCTAGATCCAGAATTGCTGAGAAGGCATCCAGAGAGGAACTGTGAAGATAGAAGGGATATCTGGAAGGGATGCTAAAAGAGGGGACCACAGGCTTGGGTAAACAGCTGAGGCATGCAGATATTCACATTAGTGGAGTGGAGGGAAAAGACCGCCAGTCCCAGTGAATCCCTTCTTAGGTATCCAGAAATATTGGCGTACCTCCTGGCTCTCATTTAGCCAAAGTGAAACTAAAGAGCCAAGAACTAGGAACATCCATCCAAGAAAAGCTCCCCCTCCGCTGTTCACTGGTGTGTGAGCACCTCATTCTCCGGAAGCCAAGAGAACCCTGGGTGACATGCATGTGCTCTTGGTTTCAGTGTTCTCATTTCCAGTCACACGCTCATTCTGAGTTTTCCTTGAACCTGGATTTTTTCAGGCCTGCCTCACAAAGGAGTAGAGCACATGCGCACACACACACGCACACACTTACATGCCCTTCCCCTCAGCAAGAATGTTTATTTCGTGATTCTACAGGGCAATGCGATAAGATACCTTTCATCAATTTATTAGCCACGGGAGTGTATTTCAGTCACCAGTATAAGAACTAGACTGTGTACATAAGGTCAGCACGTTATGTTCTTGGACATCTTATGACTCTTGCCCATAGAGTCCATCCAAGAGAGCAATCTTAGAGGTAGGACTTCGGGGAGAGTGCTTATGGAGCTGACTAGGAGCTGAAGCTTGGCAGATCTACTATCAATTCCAGCTGTGACATTTCTGAGCCGAGCTTTGCCCCTGCAGGTGCCCTCTGAGGTGAGGTAAAAGCACTAGCCTAGAAGCAAGGAGACCTGGGTTCAGATCCTAGTCTTGCTCTACAGGACTGGCCAAATAGTTTCAACTGTCTGGGCTTCTGGGTTCCCACCCATAAAGCCAGAGAAACGTTCTGCCGCCCCGCCTACCCCCCTCCCCCCAGCGCTCCTCCTCTCCCACCCCGCCCCTGAGAGCCAGACGCTCAGTATGAGAAGCCTTCACCTTTGATCAACCCAGAAAAACTGCTGACATTGCCCTGGCCCCACGGGTTTCCGCAGCTTAGACGTGTCCCTGCTACGGCACTTGCTTATTGCTGAAGCAGCCACCCACCCGGGCTGCCTTCCCTGTGGACACCCTAGAAATACCACATGGCTGACTCATCCCAATGAACATAACCGCCAGTCGTTGTCTAACTCCTCTCCTGGATCACAACAGTGACTTCTAGTATGTTTCTGGATTCAGTTAACCCTTATATATTATCAGTAATTATTAGTGAGAACTAAGTAAACAGAAAGAGCCTATCTCCATAAGTTATGGGGATTTCTTCCGGATTCATTTATCTTGACTCTGGCTTCGAGTCCAGAGTTCCATGACATGTACAGGCTCCTGTTGTCAATAAACATCGGTGCCTGTGACCCTGGACCTCTGTTTCCTCTTCATTACAGTGATGAGACCGAACCAGATCCTAGGTCTGTGGTCTTGTGACATCTCTTCACTCTCATCCAGCTGGAGTGAGGAGCTTTTCCAGAGAATTCAGGACTCCAGTTCCCTTCCATTCAGTGACTTCCAATAGAAAGACATTATCCATCGAGCAATGTGTCTTCTGGAAAAGCTGAATATTAACCAACATTTTTGTAAATAAAATCACATTTGAAGAAGAGGTCAGGATGATGAGGATTTTAAAGAACCCTAATTTAAGTTATTTCATAAAATTAAGGTTCCTTTTGAAATACAAGTACTATTGTAGACTTTTCGTAAGATCATGTTTGTTTTCTGAAGATAGAACCATATATGTGTCCCTGAAAAGTCTTCTTTTTAAAATATTTTTTAAAATTTTAATTCAATTAATTAGCATATAAAGTATTATTGGTTTCAGAGGTATAGGTCTGTGATTCATCAGTCTTATATAATACCCAGTGCTCATTACATCACATGCCTTCCTTAATGTCCATTACCCAGTTACCTCATCCTGAGAATTGAATCTTCTTTTCCCTTCAACTCACCTTATAACTCCAGCCACATTTTATATTCACTTTTTATTTAATTGGCAATGACTCCTAATACTTGAGTTTTGTTTCTAGGTACTCTTTTCTGACCTCTTTGACAAGATTTATAGGAGCTTAAATCTTGTGCAGGATAAAATGGTTCTATTAAAAGGAATTCTTAGGTGAATTTTGAATCTGTTTTATAAGGCCAAAAAAGAGTCTTTGGTGACCTTTCGAAATTTTGAACTTCTTTAAAAATAGATTCTAAGAAGCCCTTGTTTTTCCTTCTTCTTGCACTGTCCTCCAGAGAGTATTCACTACAGACTGCCCATTCTGGGCCCCAGGACAGCTGTCTTCCACGGACTGTTGGCAGATACCTACGCAACTCTGCAGGACACACAACTCTCTTCCTTGCCCAGAAAGGAGCCAAAGGGCAAGACAATGAGGCAGTGAGTGGTCAGAGCTCACTGTGGAGCTTCACCTTCCAGACTCACAGAGAGAAAACAAGTTAACCAAGCCAGTTTCAGGCATATTAGCCTAATTCCCTCCTGTCACCAAAAAGGTGACTCACTTTTGCCTTCTTGTAAATTGCTCGAATTCTAGCTCTTGCCATTGTCTTCTCACTCATTTTCCTAAAGACAAGTGGTTTAATTTCCATGATTATAAAGATTTACTGATTAAAATGGAACATTTTGGGTGTCATTAATTTTATTATTTTCTTAAGATTTTTAACTGTGTTATAGTAGACAACATCCTTCTGTTTCAAAGACTTGAATTATTTTCAGCTCTTCTTCAGTGCAGGGGGCTAGAGATGGCTCCTGGAGGTCTCTCATGAATTCAACCTATTATGAATAGAGGAGAGAAATGGAGGTCACCCTCCTGTCCTTATCTCTGTCAGTTTAACTGGTAGATGACAGGATACTGTGATACAATGGGAAAATGGCAAGTGCTTAGTGATTGCAACTCTCGAGGACAGGAAACATGCCTTGTCTTGTCCCCCTTGTTTAGTGTCCTGCGTATTATCAGATATTCATCTGATCTTTGCTCATTCATATCTAAATCACATGCTTGTATTTTGTTCTTTGGTTACTTTGGTTTGAGAATGTCTACCTCCAACTCTGTCTTGGTCCATGTGTCAGCAATGTGAAGGAGACAGAGGAAAACTCTAGGCTTGCAAATATTATATTTATAGGCACAAATGCTCCATACTCAGCTTCAGGAGGGCTCCTATAAAAGAAGGTTCCTTCCATTCTTTAGGATGCAATGGCCTTGCGGAATCCCAGGATCCTGGCTAAATGGACACTGGACCCACATGTGAGAACCAATCTCTGTGCTGACTGTATTTGAAGAATGGGCTTCAGGAATCTTTAACAAATGGCCTGGTACCTAAATTGACCTCATTTCTTATACACACACACACATTTAAAAACAACCCCCCCAAAACTAGGAAAACTCACTCGATTGCCCTATATTTATGGTAGGTTATGATTCTTGGTTTCAGTTCAGTTAGAGTTCAATAACTCCAAAAATAGTATGTACTTCCTCTCAGGGCACGCATGTATTATGATCCCACTTCAGATCATTGCTGAAGGACAGACAAATCATAAATAAAAATGTTTCTTTCTTCTTTTTTGTTTTGCAAATTAATGTATCCAGTAAAAGGATTTGGGGTATCTATACCCCTGAATTAGGGAGAGATACATGTCCCAAGCACAATTATGTGGAGCTTTTGAGGTAATTTGAATATTATATACCTAGTCAGATAGAATGCTTCCTAAATCTCAAAAAGTCCCCGCCTGGAGTACAAGGGTATTTCTAAAATTTCATCAAAAAGAATAACATCCTGGTGTTTGCCAATGTTCTAGTGTGCTGACTGAGAATGATGGTCTGTATCAGTGGTTCTTAAATTTTTTCATCTTAGGAAGCTTTTACACTCTTAAACTCTTAAAGACTGAGAGCCCTAAAGATGTTTTTAATTTATTTTAAATTTTTAAAAAAAATTTTTAAGTTTTTAAATTTTTTGAGAGAGAGAGAGAGAGCGAGAGCGCTGGCAGGGAAGGGGACAGTGAGAAGTAGAGGGGAGGTAGAGAGAATCTTAAGCAGGCTCCATGCTCAGTGTGGAGTCCCGATGCATGGCTCAATTTCATGGCCCTGAGATCATGACCTGAGCCAAAATCAAGAGTCGGAAGCTTAACTGACTGAGCCATCCAGGTGCCCCCTAAAGATCTTTTTAAAAATGTGGGTTATATCTACTGATATTTATCACATTAGAAATTAAAATGGAGAAAGTTATAAACACAGTAATACACAAGCACACCTTCCAGTAGAGTCAAAGTGATGACATTATCACATGTCATATAACCTCTGGAAGACTCCACTGCCGCCTTGGGAGAGAAGAAAAGTAACAAGGCAAATAACATGTTAGTATTATTATGAAAATAATTTTGACCTCACAGACACCCCAAAAGAATATCAGAGACCCGCAGTGGTCTCCAGACTATACTTTGAGAACTTCTTGTACACATGATATACGCTTCCATCCCTGGCCTTGCAGGGAAAGGGATGCCAGGATGCTTTAACTCACCCACCCAAGCACTCTGGTCTCTTGGCAAAGGTCTTCAAGAGAGGGCAGCAGCAGGTTTTTCAAGTGTGGTTATATTAACTTTTGGCATCCCTTGCCTCCCTTTGCTCACACTGTTTACTTAACAACCTCAATTTGGTTTCTCAAATAGTGTCCTGGTGAGACTAGAGTGAGTTGACTGGTTGGCACAAGAACTCTCATTCCCTCTGAACTCTCCATTTCTCTCTCTGGATGCTTGTTAGTTTATTTGTTTTGGTTAGTATGAACTCATTTCCCAGAATCTGAGAGGTAAACCTGGACCCATTGTGACCTTGGCATCCTAGTGATGTCCCATCAGCAGCTTTGTTGAACAGTCAGCCAGCTGGCGAACTTCCTTTTTACTTTACTCTTGCAGCTACATCCTGGAGAATAGTGGCACTGAGGGTGAAGGATTGGAAGTCCAGCTCTTGATAGCTTTCTCCACATGGCCAACCCGATGCCACCATTTCAATTTAAACTTGCAAAGAGATCTATGTGGATGCTGCCTGATTTTTTCACCATTAGTAATGTTTATAAGAAATCATCTTAAGCACAGCAAACTTCGTTTCTTTTTGTACTATGGGGGTCAAATGGTTGACTCTGCCATCATCTTGATGCAATCTTTTCTATGCTGAGTTGGATCCTTGGAGGTAATAAAGTGGACTTGTCACTTACTACTTTACCTACTGCATGTTCCTAAGCTTCATCCAAAAACCTTTCATGAATGGGCCCAGACAGTCTCTTCAGTCATCATGTTATTCCTGGTTCAAAGTCATGTAGAGTTCAGATTAATTTTTTTAATGGATAATCTTGGGTAGATTTTTTTTTTTAATTCAAAGCTAATGCTTGATTTTGCTGTTTTAAAAATAAATGACTCTTGTTATAATAAAAATTCATAGACAACTCTTCCATCCTCCTTCGTCCTAACAGGGAACTTAAAAACCAAACAATCAGCACAATTCCTTTCCCTCCAGAATGGAGAGAAATGCTGTGTTGAGGAAAATCCATGCTGGATCTTTAAAAAAGAAATGAGGCATATATCACAAGGCCATTGTCACTTCCAGTCCCCAGTTTAACCTTAGGAAGTCCTGTAGGCCTTTATTGCCATGTGCTCTGCTCAGGGGCACCCATCTCTTTCCTGGCGCCTGACTGTCAAAGCTCATGGTTTTACACATCAGAGCCACCCAGCTTCCTGCCTATGTCCAGGAACCAAGACTTCCAGATAATAGGAGTAGAGCAGAGTTGGCAGAACTGCCTTGTCCCCTCCTAAGGAAAGCCCTATTTGGAATGTCCTGTTTGGGTGTAGTTACTCAGGTTGAAGGAGGTCTTAGGGATGAGGAGGGTATTGTCCAATAGAATCTAGAAGATTTCGAAGAAAAGGAAGAAGCACAGAATTTGTTTCTAATATTAACAAACCTATAAACTAAAGCCTTAAGAATCAAGATAATTAGAATATTTAGAAATGGTTATAATTTAACCTCTAGAGAAAACAGGGATGATCAATCTTTTTTCAACCACATTCTCCTCAAGCCCACCTTAATTTAACACTTTGTTAAGTACAGTCCCTGTTTAATACATGTAATTCTTATCTCTCTAAAAACATGTCTAACTTAATGAGGATGGGAATATCTCATGCTGACAGCATATCTCCACAGGAGCTACCAAGAGGCGTACTTGAAAGATACTTAGAAGAAAAGTCCATTCCTAGGTTGTCAAGCAATGTGAGAAAACAGGAGCTGAGTTCCCGGTGTTGGGGGCAGTGAGGGTACAAAGGATTTAGGTATTAGGAACTTATTTCAACTGGAGAAATAACACACATACACATAAATGAAAAGCATGTGGACAGGCCAATATGTAAATAAGCATGAGTTACTCTCCGCTATAAATCCCCAGTGATATCAGCAATAAGGTTTTCTGTAGCACCAACCACCGAGCTCTCTGGACAGGAACAAAGATGCAATTGTGTGACCTTGTCAATAAAGTTGGCCGGAGGAGAAATAGCCGTATTTACCCTCATAGAATGTTATCTCCCCCCTCGCAAAATCTTTGGCGAGGCATTTCGCTGCCTGGCCAGTGAAGTGCAGAATAGTGAAATTAGGCATTGGCAGATGTTTGCTGTTTCGAGGAATATTTGTTCCTAAACCCCTTGGGGTTGGATTCCACTCTATTCTTGTGTAAAGGAGAGCATCCTATGGGTCACATAGCCAAAGAGTCAGGAAACCCTTGCTTCCTAGACTCTCACATTGAGAAAATTGGGTAAAGAGTAAGGTGTGCATGAAACAAGATATTGGTTAACATTAGTTGGCTCTGAGGAGTGGAACTGAATGGCTGGAGGACAGAAATTGGCAGAGGGAGGGGATATTTCATAGTATTTCTTTATCTATTCTTTGAATGTTAAACCACATGAATGTTTCACTGACTCAGAAACAAAAGAAGACCAAACAAATAAGTAAATAAAAACTTTAAAAAGCCAACAGGGGGCTATCTAGCTTTGGGATTGTAAACCTGATAAACTGTCAACATAATTATTTGTCTTTGTGAACACAGACAACACGGTCCTTGAATACGGTGAAGTTTAGGCAAGCATCCAGCGCAAAGATAAATTTTATCTCTGGCCCTTGGAAATTTTGCTCTTGAAATGTTACCGGCAAATAGAAACACATGCTTCAGCTTAGGAAGCGTTTTAAACTTTTCAAGGCAGTTTTACTTGTTTTTCCTCTCTCTTTGTCTCAAATTTACCATTGTTCTCTTACCAGGGAAACAGGAGCGATTAATGGTGCACACAATGCTCTCCATTTAACAAACGCAGTCCTTCCCTGGCATCTTTACAAAAATTCATTTTATTGTAACAAGTGTATCTGGTTCTTTTTTATGAAGCTGCCTACACAGGGCTAGTCCATCTTGCACAAAACCCTTGAAGTATTTGATGGCATCGCTCATGTTCCTCTTAGTCTTTTTTAAACTTATGATCCCCAGGCTCTTTGGCCAATATGGCAGTGCCCAGTCACCCTCTCTAGACCCACCCCCAGTGCCATTCAAAACAAGGCACCTAGAGTGGAATCGGAAACTACACTCCCGCCTTCTGGATTACCTGCTTCCAGAAATGTAGACTAACAGGAAATTTGTTTTCCTGGCAGCTGTGTCACCTCATTCTCTCACCTTGACTTGCCACCAACTAAAGGTTTTTTGTCCTTTTGGTGAGAATTGCTATTCTAACAGGTTTCCTTAGGCTATTAATTTTTTAAAACCTGTACACATGACTCTATCTTCTTCCTTATTAAGGTTCCTCTAGCCAGATTCCAGCCAGTGACCATCTTTCCGAATCTATGTTCTAGCAGTCATTAGTCCTCCCAAATTTGATTATCTGGTCTTCTTGTCTTCCTCTCAGTCTTTGTAAGTAACAGGGCCAAGGACCAAGCCCCATGGCATAGCTCGAGAGTCCTCCCTTTAGGTCAGGGATTCCCAAGGGCCTCTTCCTTCATCTATAATTGATTATGAAAACATTCAAATAGACAGACAAACAGAAATACTACTGCAAAAACACCTATGATACATAGACCTAGAGTCTGCAATTGCCAATATTTTGCCACATATCCTCTACCTACAAATCGTTTGGCTGAAACATTTTAAAATAAAGACATTATGAAATTTTACCACTACAGAGTTCAGCATGCAGCTTCAAAAAAAAAAAAAATTCTCCTTCAAAGGATAATTCTATTATCACACATAACAAAAAATTAATAATAATTCCTTATTTTTATCTCCATCCATATTCAAGTTCCCCAATTTGTCCGCAACATGTCTACTATGGCTGGTTTTCTCAAAGCCAAATAAAATCAAGGATGACGCTTTGCATTTTTGCCTCTCTTAATCTAAACACGCTATACACCAACTTTCTTTTTCATGATATTGACCTCTTGCAGGGACCAAGATAATTGTTTTATAGAATGCCAAAACCTCTCTAAATACCACCCCTCTTCACATCATTCGCTTCAACTGCTACTATCAAGGAAGGGCCACTTGCTGAGTAATTATTTTTCTTTTTTGTTCATCAAATTTATATGTAATTAGCTATTAGAG